TTGACTTGTAGTGATGTAAGTACCGAAAAGTGCTTAACGATTTTTTTCATAATTACAAATTTAAATTATTATCAATGATAAAGAGTTCAATAATAATTGAGGATACCCTGAAAATGCTTGCAGAATTAAAACTCAAAAACAATGCATGAGAAACTATTACACTTTAGAAAGAAATTACACTTTAGGAAAGAAATCTTCTGCAGGCCGCTTCCTTATGGAACCCAAAAATGCTTCTTGTAGGTTGAACAAATTATGGCTGATACCCTCTAAGCTGCCATTTATCTCGAGCAATATTTATTCAGATCCGATAGAGCAGAGTGGTTAGCTTTGCGCACTGCCAACCGGTAAGCCAGGGCTGGAATCCTGGTTTGATAAATATCCAAAATTATAGACAATTAATTAAAATTAAAAATCAAGCTAATTTTTCTAAAAGCTCTTCATAAAATACAATTAGCCGTGCGGAGGCGGCAAAAACTTCAAGCTCTATGCAGATCCACGGATAATTTGTCTTCCCAATTTAACTCGCCTCTAAGCGTTTGTTGGATGGATGAAAGTAATGAGTTGCTTAGGCCATATTCAAAAAAGGTTATTTCTGATCACTCTCAATTAAACTGTGGTTAGAAACTTTCCTGACTTCCTCCCTCACAGCACTCTCCAATCGATCGTATTGTGTGAAAGAGTCTGGTGGTCTTGATATTCATCATGCTGATTCAGATGCTAACCATGTAAGAAATAATAGCAAAGACCAATGAGAAAAGAGTCCAGAGGCAACACCTTTTCATCAATCTTAAAGCTGCCTTCAACAGCGTAATAAGTCGTGAGTTTTCGCCACTATGTCTGATTTTGGTATCCCTGCAAAATTTATACAGCTGAATAAAATAAAGCCGGACAATATCAAAAGCACAGTAGAGACATCTCTCAAGCCGCTTTGCACTCAGTAGGTAACTGAAAGGTAAAGTCCTCTCTCGACGAATCAAAACAAATCGCTACAAGTCGCTCATCATACCCATTCTACTATATGTTGCAGAAGCATGAACGATGTCGTCATCTAAAGAGTCGGTCTTAGGTGTTTTCCAGAGAAAAATTTTGTGATTGCATGTGAGAATTGTTTTTTGCATTGGTAAAGCGATTATGACAGACGTTGGAGCAGCGAGCTGTACGAGATATACGGTGACGTTGATATATATAGTAATCAATTTAACGAACCTAGAATATTTGTATCACATACGCTGAATTTATGAGAGCACTCCAGCTTTGAAAGTACAGTACAGTAGACTTGTCAGTAGTCAGTAATCGTCTCAAAATGATGGGAACAACACTTCTACTTAACGACTCTTTACAAAAATTTCTGTCACCTAGTTGGAACGTAGCTGCGGGACGATCAGTTCAGATCGTCGTTCCGGCTAATTATACGATTTTCGAAAACAGTGCGCAAAAAGTCGATTGTAGCGTTGGTTGTGTGGCACGTAGCATCGGATGAAACCACACATCATCCATGTCATTCTCTCCGACATTCAGTAACGAGCGACATTGACAGTAACGGCAGTTTCTTCCTCGTTTTCAATGCCGCTGGTACACATGTCGCCCCGAACAGTCACGCGCTGAGAGTTGTTTGCCAATGTAGCCGAGATGAAAAAAAAATATAATTTTTCTGATATCATTAAATAAGGCAGAACCATGGCGGATGGTTTGAGATTTCAGTTCTTGGAACAATTAGATCTTACAAGACTTCATGTCAAGAACTTTGTGCAACTAGCCAAACCCAAAGTAGGTGGAGCATCAATTATGTCATTGTCCGTCATTCTCAGAAATTTTTAGTTCTACTGCCTTTCAACCAGGAATCTTATATCTTCACAAATCGCACTAAACTTTTTGAGAATCTAGGGAAGCATAATTTTTCATAGGCTGAAGTTTGGTATCACTTTCAGTAGACGTTTCAGTTTTTACCATTGACACCTTCCAAGTTCGCCCTCAAACTATTGTTGGCTTCCCAAAGAACTATGGATTCCGAAGTGACTCGGAACACAATCGATTTCATGAAATCTAGAATTTTATTTCTGCTTGCCGTCGTCTGTTCATCTCAGCTTTGTTAACCCATCATCTCATTTACATTCGTACTTTTTGCCACTTGAAACTTTTTCAATATATCCACTGTAGTCAGCCGCAGTTTTTACAATTTGCTTCGCACTTTAGCACCACAAACAGACAGTTGGCCACCATATTGGTAGCCACTGCGGCTTTGGATTGTGGCGTAAAAGCGTACAGCGAACCAGTGAAAGGAGAAGCTTCAAGTAGCAGCAATATTCTGTTGCGAACTAAAGCAAATCGATAAATAAGAAAAGTTGTAAGCAACAACAAAACACCGCCAAGCACTGAACAATAAAGTGGGTGTATGTGTGTGTGTGTGTGTGAGTGTGAAAGATGTGAGTGTAGCAGAACAAACAAAATCTGTAACCAGAAGGCGAAATACTCCGTGCTAAGCTGCAAGAGAAAAGGAAGACCCAGCACTGCTTCCAAGCACCATTCAAGCCTTTTTTTACTTTATTATATAAGTAAATTTCAGTTAAGTGACTTTATTTCAAACCGAAAACCAATTGAAGCCACTTTCTAAGTGAATTTAAACATTCACGGTACATCATTGCCCCCAACTGCACCCGCAGCCATTTGCGTGTATTGAAATGTTAACGCGCGCCCTCTCAGACAACGGAAGCAATAACGGAAATCAAAAGAAAAGTAAATAAAGAATCAAGATTTTTGCATGCCAACACATTTCGCCTGCCCAGTCAAACTTGAGGGGACGACCTTTCTGCAACATTAGTGAACCTTTTCGCCCATATCAAATAACTCCATCAGCCACCATTCTACCATCCATCCATCCATCAACTCCATCCACCACCTTCTTCTTCTTCTTTCATTCAACACTTTTTTTTGTGCCTTCTTTAGGATGCTTTCTCAACACGCCTTCATATTTATTTATTTATTTATTTACTTCTCTACTTTGCGCTTTTTCGCTGACTTCTTCATTAAGCGTCTTTCAACTGGACCGTACGTCGCTCCAGCTGGTCATCAATAAAAAAAATAATAAAAATAAAAAAATATATAAATACAATTCTCAAGCGCTTGAATGGCTGAGCTGCTGACGCGTTGAACTTGCGGGAATTGAGTATTGGGCATTTTTGGCTGACTCGAGCTCCTGGCTGGGTGGTGCGTGGTTTCGGCTTTGGCAATTGCTTTCTGCTGATAATCGGTTTTCTTTTTATGCTCCGCGTGTATGTGTATTTGTGTGCGCTTATATAGCGTAAGTCAGTGGTGCGCATGGCATGACATAATTCCCTTTTCGAAAATTAATTCAACTTTGCGAAACCATTGCTAGCACATGCACACATACAAACCTATATTATATTGCAATTCACTCTTGATTTCATTAAATCATTTGCCATTTTTGTTTTTATTTCAAATTTACTTTTCTTCTTCTCCCTTCGCGTTTGGTTCGTTTTACATTTTGCTCTACAAAAAATGTCTTCAAATTATTTCTTTATTATTTTTTCCCACAGAAAATATATATAAATTACTTCTTCCTCCCTTCTCATGTGGTGCATCACGCGCGGCCAGCTCATTCTCCACTTAATCCTTCCACCGGCGGGGAGGTGTTGTTGTTGCAGCCGCAAATTATTCCTCGAAAACCAATTCAGGAGTGACAGTCCTTGGTCGGATAAAAATCCAGGTCGTTCCGATATAAAGACCCGACTGTCGCGGGAACTATTGGATTTTAGTCGCCTTACCACGGGTAAATTCTTGAGCCCCTAACCGGCGGGCAGGTCTGCTTGTTCAATTGCTTCCAGAGAATACTTTCAAAGTTGGCGTGTTTTTATTCCTTTCGGGCGACATGGCTCAGCGAGCTTAGCAGATGTCTCTTGATTCGCTGAAATAAAACAATGTCATTGGAACTGCTTATTACCATACCAAAGCTCACGGTAAATGTAAGTCCTCCGAGCGTATTTCCGACATGAAATGAAAGCTCTTTATAAAGTCTATAGATTTGTCCGTTTGTTGGAATAACATTGACACGCAAATAAGACATATTCATGGCCGAAAATCGTTTTCGTAATTATTCTAAATATACATAAGAGTGACGAGTGGATGACAAACGTAAAAAGTTCGTTGTTTAGGTGCCATTCGAGTTAATGGCAAAAGTTCTCATGGATCGATTCTGGAACGGGCCGTGATTGGTTATGTTTTATGGGATGATAAAGGATTAATCTACTTGTAATTTGGACTTTTACTGTTAACAGTTGGATGGTATGAAGAAAGCAATCTCCCACAAGCGCCCAGCTTTGGTCAACAGCAGGCGGATTGTATTTCAGCAGTAAAACGTCAGACCACACACATCGATAGGGGCTTGTCAGAAGTTCCAAGAGCTTGCAGATGCATTCATCTTATAGTGTGGAATCTACAATACATCAAGTGAAGAACCGTAAAAAAAACCTTGTAAAAATTAAAGCACTGAGTAGAGCTTAACGGTTCTCCAATACAAAAACAGCGAGGCCGCCACGTACAGCGAAGTCAACTAGGCTTTTGCGGGACGAAGGGAGTAAAGAAGGTCTGAAAAGCATTTTCAATGCATTGTAATGTGATACATGGTTGTGGCTGGGTTGAGCAGGCTAGCGTTATCCTGGTACTAAGCTCGTTGATTGGTTTCTGCGCTCACCACTTAAATTCCAGCACCTTGACTATACAGAAAAGAGTTTCATACACGCATTTTATACTCAGAGAACAACAAATATGTATGTTCCACAAAATTCCAAACAAAGTCAAGTGGACTACCCACCGCTTCCCTTTCTCACCCCTTCCCAACAAAAATGACATAATTTTTGTATCACCAACCCAACCATACGACAAAATTAAATCAACTTCAGGTTTAACCCTTCTCATAGTTTTAATGTATTTAACTACTCATTTTAAATTCAAAAATACAAATTACATAATTAATAGTAGTACGCAGTATTTTATAGCAGCACGCATGTGATTTTATAGCAACTGATGAAAAAATCTGTAGCTGTTTAATGTAAGAGGCAAGTGTAACCGCGACTTTCCGCAATCGGTTTCAGATATAGAGTCCGGAGTATCACTGGTTTTCGGTAACCTGTCTGTTGAACTTTTCAATTACACCTCAGACGCGATCCTCGGTCAATTGGGCTAGAGGTGGGTAACGCTGGGTTCTTCGAAAAAAAGAAAAAAATCAGGTTGAATTATTGAAAGGTAAATTTTTGATTACATTTTATCATTATATTTATTTAGACATACGATTTTTTCGTTCTGAGTAATTTAAAACATAGTCACTAGCTTATCTTATCATTCAAGGTATGGATAATAGTTTGGATCTTTTAGTTATTCTGAGTCAAAATTTATATTATCTTTCTTGATTACGGCACATTCAGCTACACTTTACGGCTCATCTGGCTAGGTTTGAGGTTGGGCCGCCAGGAGGCCGAGCACCTTCGTAACAGACAGTGGAATACGAATATTAACAGCTTTTGCTTAACTCTTCTTTCAGGAATCCGATAATGAAAATAATTCTGAAGATTTCCAAAAACCAGTTTAATGTTTTACAGACATTTGCTTAAAGAATCTCACCTTTATATAAATGTGGCAGCAATGTAAGCGTAAGCGACTCCGAGTAGAAGTAAATCGATTTAAGTTTCCACTCCAAATCAATAATAATTTACACAAAAGGAAATTACGTAGATCCACGTATGCCAATGCCTCACACATTTACTGTACTTCATTACACAATTCAAGAGACTCTGATGGTACGACTTATCTCCTTGTAAATGTTCAATGGAAAAGAGCATACAAATTTTGGGAAAGATGCTTGCTAAGAGACTCTACTTCTTATGGCTCCCATATGATTTGTGGGGAGACCCCAAAGTGAATAAAACTGGTGAAAAAAAAATGTATTTAATTTATTTTGTATTAAATATTAATTGTTTTTTTATTTATTTATTTATTTTTTTTTTTTGAAAGCAGAAAAAAATACGAAATAAAAGCATTTTCATTAATTTTTACAGATCGCATTTGGCTTGCGCTTACACAATAAAGTATCAAGCATAAGCAGGTAGGTAAATAGATTCTGGGAATGGAAAAAATGTAAGCCGGACCAATTATAACAAATGTGTTCTTTGCACTTTTAAAGGCAATGTGGGCCAAAAGTCTGTCGTCGATTTCTAAATCTCTACCCTTCCTTGGCATTGTTTTTCCATCAATAGTCCCCACTTTATCGCCTCAAACCGAAAACATTTAAAAAAGTATGAGACATTCAGTCTCAGGGAAACTTCTGTTCCTCGTCAATGAAACTAAATAATTTGAAAGAAAGTAAACGAATAACGAGTAAAAAAAAAATCTTAAGCAAAATTTTCCAAATTTAATGTTTTCTTCATTTTGCTTTTGTCTTAAAGTAATCCGCACTTACGCAAATGAGAATTTGTAAATATGTATGCATAGTGGCGTGTGTCTTACAACAAATTTCCAACACAGGCGGCCATGCAAAAGCAAACATCTCTTCAACTTGAAGCGAAATGACTTGAAAAAAAAGCACTCGCGTGGCAAGTTGAGTTTTAACGACACAACAAACAACAAGCAACAACAATAAACCAACAACCACACGCTCAAATACCGAAAAGCAAACAAGTATTAGTAAACGAGATGTGAGCGCACGAGAGCTGTGTGGGCGGAGAGGAAGAAAATCATCGTGAATTTCCAGTGTTGACAAGGCCATTTCTATCTAAGTTCGTGTGGGTGTGAATGTGAATGTAAAGGCGCCTATGCAATGTTACCTGCCAAAAAGCAAAGTAATCATAATACTCTTGTGTTTTCATTCGCCCTACATCTCACGCAGCTATTATCGCTGTTTACCTGTGTGCGCTTCAATCAACAAGATATGCGTTGGAACGTATCAAGAAGCGTTCAAGTGGCCTGCATGGCGTATACGTAATATTTTTTTTTCTTCTTTTTTCTCACTTTCTTTGTTCACTAAAATATGTAATTAGCTCTTCTCGTGTATTTAAGCACCGCGCTGTTGTTGCCTATTAGTTTTGTTTAAGCTTTACAAATTATCAGTGGGAATATATATAATATGTATGTATACAAATGTACATACATACTTGTCTGGCAAACAAATTGCAGGCATCGGCGCATCAGTGCCACTGCTACTGCTGGTACCCACAAGTGCTCAACCGGCATTTCGCCAACGCCTGTCAGTGAGCGACCGAAAAAAGTCAAGTCAAGCATCAAGCGCCGCCACCATTGTCAACCACCGATCACCAACACTCACCGGTGTGTGCTGGGCGCAGCTGGTGGTGGTTATAAAGGGTGATTGTTTAGCTATTACCTTTTTAGCAACACTGGTTTAAGGAGCTGACGAAGGTTTCGTGTTTTGTGTCACTGTCAAATATCTTCCGGTTGATCTATAATTTAGCCATGAATCGTCTTTCAAAAGAAAAACGCTTGCAAATTAAAAAAAAGTTAAAAAAAAATTGTGTTCAGCGGCGAAGCTCAAATTTGGCTTAATGGATGCATAAATAAGCGGAATTGTCTGTTTTGGAGTGCAGATCAGCCAGAAGCTTTGCAAGAGTTGCCAATACATCCAGAAAATGACACAGTTTGGTGCGTTTGGTGGTTTATGGGCTGGTGGAATCATTAGACTGTACTTCTTCAAAGATGATGTGAATCGTAACGTAACTGTTACTGGTGAGCGCTGCCGTGCGATGATATCAAACTTTTTTTATATAATACTTGACCTGCATGACATGTGGTTTCAACAAGACGGTGCCAGTTGTGTAACATTTGGTTTCATTGATAGGCGAGCTCGGTGAAATTTTTATTTCACGTTCGGTACCGGTCAATTGGTTGCCTAGATCGCGCGATTTAACGCCTTTAGATTATTGTGGGGCTATGTTAAATTGAATACCCATACAAATAAGCCCGCTTCAGTTGACGCATTGGAGGACAACATTAAAGCATTTATTCGTGAGATACCGGCAGGAATGCTGGAAAGAGTATGCCAAAATTGTACTTAGCGGCTAGACTATTTGAGACGCAGTCACGGTCAACATTGTCATGAGAAAATATTCAAACATTAAATTATATGGACCATACTATCGATTCAAATAAAGATGTTATGCATTTTTCTGAATTTTATGTGTGTTTTTTTTTGAAAAATTTTTCTTAAAAAATCACCCTTTATTTACACTTGTGACTGCCATGGACAATGCCATTTTGAGGGGTCCACACAGCATTGTGGAATGACAGGAACATAACAGAGTGTAGCATAGTTTGAGTGGGAGAGTGTAGAGAGAGAAATGACAAGGTAGACAGCAGACAGAGCATAGCCGTTGCTTGCGTGGGACAGTATAGCCAGCAGCAACAGCTTGAAGTGACAGTAAAAATGGCAAATGAGAAATTATAAAAAGCAGCAAATGGAATAAAGTAACAATTAAGATGACAGCTGTGAGGGAAAGGTGCGCGAGTAGTTATTTTGTTTCGGTTGCTTGGTATTTAAAAGTATAAAAAAAATAATGCAAATGAGACATCAGCGAAAGACTATTGTTTGGCACCAATTGAAAATACCAAGCCCAAGAAGTTGAAGATCTTCGGCCTGAACCTGCGTGACTTCATCCATGCGTACGTCTTAGCTCAGCCAGCGAATACCCACAACTTCAGACTATCTTTTGAACCTTTACTTCTTTTATGTTGTATTCTTATTTTATGTTAGTTTAAAATACTTTCAGGCCCTTAGCTCAACTAAGTCACCAAACAAGTCCCTTTTGTTACCAATTTGTATCTCTAAAGGCCCTCGCTGGTCAAACAAATTTGTTGACTCCCTCTCTCTATTCAACCGCGATTTTGCTCAGTATTCTAAGAATTGCTATCCTTTTAACCCAACTCACTAAGTTGTAGGCCATTTACGAAGTAAGTTTCCACAGATCAAAGGTTCACCTCCATAACTTCCACTGAAATTTTGTTGTTGGTGCTCTTTGTCTACCGTGCAACTTATGTCCTATAAGAAGATCCCTAACCGCAGTTATATTCAGTCCTATGGGCTTAAAATCCATCAGTTCAACCGTCTGCTCCTAGATTAGCTTGATTAGAAGCTAACAAGTGGAAAAGTATTATTCCTCTCTGCTGCGTGGCAATCCTCAGGGTACCAGCTCATATTTCAGCATTGTCAAAACCCAATAGCTTCTTTGGCGGTGATGTGTATTATAAGAAGCTTAAAAAGCCGTCCTTCAAATTCCTTGCATTGAATTTTCTTTGTTTTTGCTGTTGCGCGTTCATCTCCAGAGGCGAGTTCGTATCTTGACTGCTACAAGGCAGACTTCTCCTTCTTGAAAGCTGGTGTTTTAGGAAATAACAAATATACAGGTTCTCCTCTTTCTCTGTTTGCCCCAATGGGTACTATACCAAAAACTTTTATAGCTGCAGTTTATTTTATCTATGCGGACCCCAAGACCTAGCCAGTGCAGCCGCTGTATTTTAATTTGCTGTGGTATTTGCCATAATCAACTCGTGCATTAGTCTAATGCAAATATTTCTCTCAAAGTCTCTCCCTCCAACTCATCACTTGTTCTCATCGTCCACACCCATACCAGGAACGATTAGCAACTTGTAAAGTTTGCCATTAAATGACCAAGTACAATATGAATATCGAGGTGGGGAGACGTTCATAGGAACGTTGTAGTGCCACATTGAAAACATTTTTGTCCACGTCCTACCTCCTGGCTGACACTCTCTACAGAGGAGCGCCCGTAATTATAAAAAATTAATTTTCTTTAATTTATAGATGGTGGTCAACCTTGGATCCATACCTTGGCCTTCTGAATGATAGCACACAATGCAAGCCACTCGGCTATTGTTTCGTCAATGGTACTACGAATGAAAAATACCTGACCTTCTGTGAAAGGTACATCAACCTTAAAGACAATACTTTGAGAAACTGCTTGTGTCTGAGCTTGGGAGGCTGTTTAGGATTGGATAAAGATGATTGGGTATTATTTAATACCCTTGAATTTATTAATCGCTCTGTTTGGTTCTTAAAGTAGTTCAGCGGTTAACGCCATGGGATAAAATTCGAGGTGGTGCGAGATAACCATTCACTGTTTAACCTGGTACTTGTATAGGGTGGAGCTCAGCGGTGAGCACCGGGTGAAACATTGATGGTGGTACGTGGTCACCGTTCTATTGTTAAGAACGTTATGGCTCTTCAAAAGTGTGCTCCAAGCGATTTTGTAAGCCAAGCTTTAATCACTCAAGAAACGGCGTGATTCAGCCTTTTCTGCTGCTGTTAAGTGTCTTCCGGGCGTCTTGCCACGCACTCTGGGCTTAGCATCTATTAGAAACGTTTACTTAATTTCTTCACCAGAGAATTGCACTTCTACCAATTATCAGATATAAGTATACATACACACGTACATGCATATATGCACAAGTATTTCAAATGGCAGAAAGCAAATTCTTATACCAGAAAATATGTCCGCTACAGAATTGCTGAAGTCAATGGTCTCAACCAAAACGGTTCTGCACGCGAACTATTCTGCTGGCAATACACTTGTCAAAAGCTTTTGACACTGTCAGCCATTCAGTGCTACTATCGGACATTGAGGAAACCTCATTACCACTGAGGTTAAAGAGGTGGATCATTGGCTACCTGAGTGGTTGTCAATCATCGGTAGAGTTTCGAGGTTAAACATCGAAAGTCAGAAAGATTAAACAAGAGGTTCCGCAGAGTGGGTACCTCTCCCGATAGCTGTTTAGCTTGTATATCTCGAAGCTCCTTCCTCCACCGATGATTGCGATATTGGCCGTGATATTAATGACTTATTTTCGAAATTAAACTGCTATCTCAAGGACGTTTCTCACTTCTCCGCTCCAAAACAACTAATGCTGCAACACACAAAATACTCGGAGGCAGACTCGAACTCGATGTAAAAGTCGAAGGCGTCGAAGTTCTGACCATAAAGAAGTCCAAAGTTACTGGGAGTCACATTCGGCAGCCCGCACTTCTTCACTCCGCATACGATCGCAATAACTACAAAACAAGCTAAAACAAAATTCCCAAAATGTTAGCCGGTAGTACAAGGGCAAAAGATAAAGGAACCTTACTGGCAACATACAAAGGAATTGAAAGGCATGTCGCAAGCAGTTGAAAAAGATATAAGCCTACCAAAACACCGCCCTCAAGACCGTCTTAGGAAACCTTCTGATGTTGGCAGAGCATCACTTGCACAGTGAAGTATTTATGCTACATTTATTAGAAGCTGAACCACACCCCCAAAAAAATCAGAAAGAGTGTACTTGGCTTAAAGCACTGCACTCAGCGACAAATTGGCGTAAAGCAAAAGTTAGTTAGCACCTTCATGAACTCTCTACCCTTGAATGGGGTTCTCGGAGTCTAACTACCAGCCAAAGTAGGCGAACAGCTCGAGCTGCGTCGAGAATCTCACGTAATTCTGGCACAGTTCCGGTCTGGATATGGTAGCTGGTTAAACTCATACTTATTCAGACCCGACCGCGATATACCTAATGTCGGTATCGCATGTAAAAAGATCCCGCACATGACAACCTACCTTTTTGTATGATCCGTGAAATCTACTAATCCCGTTAGATGACCATACTGAATCAGACTAACAAGCCTTTTTCTAAGCGGACTACAACAAAAAACAGAAATCATTGAAAGAAAACTAAAAGAAAATATTAAATTTCCTACTGCAGTACAAGTTTGGCATTCATCTCAAGTTCAACGATGAATTCGAAGTCACACCACATCCTTGCGATTCTGCTTTTCGTATTTATTTTTTACTTTTATTTAGTTTTGCTTAAGATTTCTTGTGTCCTGCCAACTGCAAGCAGCCAATCAGTGCCAGTGATAGGGTCTATTTGCGCTAGAAATGGGCTTGCCTGAATCGAAACTTCAATTGCTTTTTCCATCTTCATTTACACTTTCTTCACGTCTTCCTCTTCATCTCACTTTCTTGCATTTTTTTGTTTACATTTCGCTTTTATTGACATTTTAATGAAATTATTTTCTTTGATTTATGGGACATTGTTGACTTTTGTGTGCGATTAATAATTTCCCGCCAATCTGCGGACTACAACTGTGTGGAGTGGACAAGCTGCCCGGGCTGTGGTTGAAGCAAAAAAAAAAAAAAAAAAAAAAAAAACAGAAGGACTGCTGAGGGTCTATGATTATTTGCTGAGCGCTTAGAAAGACCGTTGGGATTTGTAGGCAGTTGTATGTGTGTGCGTGTTGTTTAGGGAGAAAAAACGGCTGCAAGCCGGTGTTGCTGTTAATTGAGACTGATTAAAATGAATTGCAGCGCAGAGAATGTCAAAAGGTTTCAGCCAAATGATGACGGTGCAAATAATCAATTCGATTTCATAATTTATGGCAACCCAAGGGATTAACATAAAAAATTTTATATTTTTATTAATTAATCGTGCTTATTAAAGCCTTTACATACATACATACATACATACATACATACATACGTACATACATATGTTTGTAATGTGCTTTGACATTAGGTGATTAGTATTTTTTCTTCGTTTTAAATTGCGTTTTATGAGTTTGTTGAAAAGTTCATTAATTATAACCTCATATTAAATTAAATAACTAAAATTAAAAACCAAAATTTTTTTTTGGAAAAAAATTAAAAATTTCTCTGGTCTCAACTTTATTTATTTTAATTTTTAATTTTATATTTTTTATGCGGTTAGCATTGCGTATTGCATTCAGAAGGTTTGGGTTCATATCCCGGGGCCACCAACATCCAACAGTTGTGGAAAATTAATTTAAATAAAAAATTAAGTTCAGTTTTCTAATTGCGGTCGCCCCTCGGCAGGGAATGTCCACCCTTCCGCGTGTATTTTGGAAATGAAAAAGGCTCCTCATAAAAAAGTCATCAGCCGTTCGAAATCGGCTTAGTATAAACTGCAGGCCTCTCCCTTTCTTGGAAAAATATCAAGACGCAAAATCACAAGATGGAGTCCTCCTCCAGCTGAAAAATCGCGCAAGCGGCTACAAAGCGCCAATTATTTATGTATATTATATATATATATATATATTTATATTTTTAATTTTTTCTTATTTTCATTTATCAAAAACTCCCATGAACCTAAAACTAGAGATATTTTTTATTAAGGGGCACACCTAGTGTAATGGCCTAAAAATAGGGAGATTTTTGGGCATTTTTAATAAAAAAATATTTAAAAATTTAAAGAATTTATTTATACATGTTTAAGGAATATACAGTGAAATTTTTGAAGAAAAATATCAAATATTTTTTTTTAATTATAGACGATCTCCAACGGCGCGAAAAAAAGGTCCCTCACAGCTGCAGTGATTTCGGCCTTCTCCGTGGATGAAATCTAAAACAAAAAAATTCTCTACTAGATAATAATGTCTGTACAATGAGCGACGATAAAAAAAAATCAAAAATTGGCAATATGGCGGCGTTTTTAAAAAAATAGTCGAGTTTTACCCAAAATTTTGGTCATTGATGGCCTGCCAAAAATCGATTTTTTGATCGGATCAAAAATCGATAGGTCATTGTACGGAGAACTATATATAGAACATGTAAAAAATTCTATAGTGATCGGATCATTTGTTTTTGAATAATCACTGCAGCAAATTCGGAAAATGCTGTTTCGAGAAAAACGCGCTTAAAAATAAAATGATCGTTTACACTCGTAGCTAATGAGACTCTCTAGCTGCCGAGCGACTACTCTTTATATTTCTGTAACTATTTGAGATATTGATTTGAAATTTTATTATGTTATTTTTTAAATGTGTAATCTACCGATATATGAAAAAAAGATCAATATTTGTTTGAAATTTCACACTAGATGTGCCTCTTAAAGCATATATAATATCTTGAATGTATTTAAAATGAATTTGATTTTTTTAGTCTTTTCCCATGCGTACAATTTCTTAAGTTTCCTAAAGTATTTCCTAGAACTTAAAAGCTTTCACAAATAAATATATTGCCTTTGCTACCTTCAGCTTGCACCTTCACCTTCACATCTAAATACACATCATCAATCTTTATTCGTCCTCAAAGTATAAACTTAGCTGCGGCAACAACAAGTCTATTCAGCTACACACATACATACAAACATTATACATATAATCCATCAGCGCTATTAATAAATAACGAAACGATGACAGTACATATAAATATATACATACATAGAGGAAACACCGGCAAATAAAGGCAGACATAGATCCAACGGCAGACAGCTGCCATTTAAAGCAGTTTCTGTGAGCGCACAGACATTTCTACAAATTCAATTCAAATATAAATATGTATACGTCACTTAAAGCCGCTTGTTGCTCCTTGCATTATTTTTATGTCACCTTCAACTAATGTGTCGGTATATATAAAAATATAAGCATATATAAATATATATATATTGATATATATAGTTATATGTATGTAGGTATATTCATGCAACTGAGCACCTGAAATCTTTTAATAACAGCACTTTGTCGCATTAATGAAGAGAACAAAAGGTGAAAAGACAAAAAGAAATTATTAAAAATAGTGAACACAATACATGCATACATACATATATACATATACGGAATGAAAGAAATTCGTGGTAAATAAAAGGTGAATAAAAATAAAAGTAAAAGTAATAACGGTAATAAACAAAAGTATAGACTGAGACAAAAAAGGAACTTAGCGAAATATAAAAAAGTACTTAATTGTGAAATATTTTTCCTACATTTTATGGAAGCTTTCAACTAAGTTGAGGCTTACAAACCTTTTACTTACATTTTTTTAGTGCAAAAGTTCCTGAAAACTGAACAGAATATCGGATTTCCTTTTATTATATTACTTGTTTCGATATTCTTCGTAGAAAATTTTCTCGGTTATTCTTCACATTTTTTGTTTAAATATTTTTTTTTTCTATTCGAATACTTTTGCATATTTTGTAGTTCTAAAATTTTTCAAAATTTTTTTAATTGTATACAACAATTTCAATAGCTTATTTTCTTCCAAAATATGCACATCGAATATTTTTTCCATAATATTTTATTAATTTCCTTTTCTTGCTTTTCTCTTCTCGAACATTTAATAAATTTTTTGTTTCGAAATTCGAAATTTTTTTTTCATGAATTATTCGAGCAGAATCAAAGCGAATTTACCGAAGGTGAAGTTGTCACACCATATGATTGCTTGTTCTTCCTCCGAACTCAACAAATTACACAAACAAAATACATTAGAAATAGGTTTTGGCATTTCGAACATCCGTTTACACAAACAAAATACATTGAACGATTTTTGACTTTTCGAAACTATGATTTCGCAAACAAAATATATAGACTTTTTGCTTTTGTATTCTTGCTACTACCGTGTGTGAATTCGCCTTGAGCACAATTTAGAATTATTTAATTTAAAATTCGAGGGCTAATTTTTTTTTTCGAAGTTTTTTTTTTTCGAGTTATTTACATATATATTTCTGTTCGAATATTTTGAGGTTTTTTAATTTAAAATTCGAATATTAATTTATTTAGATTTTAATACATTTTCAGCTGGAATAATTTGTTGGTTTCGGTTAAATGTTCGAAAATTCGAAAACTCGATATTTCGAAATTTTTCAATTCAAAATTCGAAGATTGATTTTTTTTTAATTTCCATATAGTTGTTGCTGTAATAATTGGTAGGTTTGAAAGCTCGAAAATTTTCTATTTTATGATTTTTCAGTTGTAAATTCGAATTTTTTTTTAATATGAGTATATTTTTCGAGTTATTATTATTTGCTCCAATATTTTATAACTTTTCGTAGAACTTCGTCCATATTTTTTTGTCCAAATGGTTTCAGAATGATTTAATGATTTAGTTCACTATTTTTCCAAAATTCGAAAATCATTTTTTTCTATTATGTCGTAAATTTTTTTATTCGAACATTTTAAGATTTTTTGGTTAAAAATTCAACGATAATATTTTATTCCAACAATTAGTACATTTTTCTGCACGAATATTTTATGACTTCTTATTAAAAGTTTTTTGTTCAAATTTTTTCAAATTGTACGGGTTTCCTCAAAAAAAAAAATGCGTTTTACAGCCGGTGAAGCAATTTTCCGCCAAGCTCCTACCCCAATTTGAGGTTTTGCGTATTGATTTTTTTCCAACCTCCGAACGGTTGACGGTTTTTTATGAGAAGCTTTATTTAAGGTCCGGAATACACTCGGAGGGGTTGACATTTCCTGCCGAGGGGCGATCGCAATTAGAAAATTTGACTTAATTTTTTATTCAAATAAATTTTCCATAAAATTTTGGAAGTTCGTAAGACACTAGGACTTGAACCCGAGACTTCCGAATATTCGAGAATATTTTTTGTTTTTAATTAAAGAAATTTTTAAATTTTGTAATTTGTAATTTTTTCATTTATATTTTTCCAATTTTATTTTTTTTCGAAAACTAACTATTTAATCTTGCTGTGTTATGTATTACTTTTACTTTTAATTGTTTTATTGCCTTTGTAAATTGTAGAATTCTCAGTTAGGCTAGTTTTATATATTTTGAAAGAGTGTATGTACATACATATATATATATATATAAGTATGAGGCTAAGATTAAAACAATGGCTTCTTCATTCACTTCTCGCTTCTGACCAGCATTTGGGTGCCAGTGTTGTCTGCTTAAACATGAAATTCAACACAAAGGTTTTCCACAGCATGAGCAGCAGCAACAGCATCAGGTGTCTGCTTGCTAAAAGTAAATTGCGTACATATGAACATACATACTCATGCACATGAGCGACCGGTTGTAAGTAAGCCTTTGTGCATATATTTATTTGCACGTTGAGTAATTTTCGCTTAAAGTGCGCTCAGAAACCTCTCTGTGAATATGGAAATCATATGTATGTATGTATGTACAACCCACAGCCACTTACCACTCCTTTTGCCATCGCTGTGTTGTTGTGCGCAACGTATACGCCTTGTAGAATCGGTCGGCTTTTAATATTATCTCTTTTAATGTTTGCACGGGAGTTTTGAGTATGCGTGTGTGTGTGTGTAAATGCGCGTGTATGCGTCTGTTTGTATATGTAAATTAACTCAACTCAATTGAAACTCAAAGGCTACGCAGCCTCCATAGCTTTAAATGAGAATATTCAATATGTACGCATGTATGCGCGTATGTGTGTGTGTGTGTGTGTTTGTAAACAATAGTTATGTAAATACATATGTGGATTCTTCGCTGCAATCTTTTGACTGCTTCTTCATTTATCTAACCATTGCTTGTGCTTATTCAGCAAAAGCTCTTAGGAACACGGAAGCTTTTTAAGTTTCCGGAGCTTCTAAAGCTGAGTGGTACCAGCAGTTAAACTTTTTAACGGTTAAATTTTGGTAAAGTATTTTATCGTGCTTTCATATTTCAAGCACTGTAGGTGAGCTTTATAATTCGAAGAAGCTTTTCGGGTTCGGAAAAGATGGATTTGGTTGAAAAATTTACTAAACTTGATAAGACAAAGATTCGTCTGTGAAATTTTTATATGTAATAGTCATGCAGCTTGGTAACGAGATAGCAATCAGCGAAAATAGGTAATTTATAGCGAAATATCTACAAAGCTTCAATATTTTTGTATGAATTTTTAGCTTGCGCAAAATGCACAATTCCGACTTTCGAGTAAACAGCATAGGGAAACAAGATCAAAGTTATTTTTTTATTTTGTATTTAACTCTTCGTATTCTTCTTATCTTTCCCTCTAAAAATTACAACAACATTCGTAAGTTCACACTTTCACAAAATTCACGCTCGCTTCATTCCTTCAACAAGCAATCTAAAGTATCACTCGAACCTCCCTGCGACTCAGACAGACTGGAGTCCTCGACGATTGACTCGTGCTCCGAGTCTTCGCATACTTCCGAGGGCAACTCAGTAGTAACAACACTGAGTGCACTAAATGATTTGTAGGATTTGATAAGGCTCATCACTGGGCGACTCTTCCAGAATGGCTTCAACTGATATTTCCACTTGCGTAATTTATACAAATCACAATATTTAAATTGTGCATCCTTAATCATTTGTACGAATGTTTTTTCGTTTCGATACGCTTGCTGCAGTGCGACCATGTATTTGACACATCGGAGATTCTCCAGATCATCCTCCAAGTCGAAGGCGCTCTGTGCTTCTTTCAGCGCATTTTCAGCCAAATGATATTTTTGTGAATCTCTCATAAAAATTTTCGCCATCTGTAGTAGCGATTGACCGAGCAGCTTATTCAAGTTCAGGCTACGTGCCACCAGCAGAGCCAGCTTCAGTTTCGCCATGGCGTAGGTGGTGTAGCCCAAGCTGTGGAGGTCGGTTGAAGATTAAGATATTTTTATTATATTTTCATCTACATAAATTAGCTAAGACTAGGGTTATTCACAATTTGCAAGAAGGTGGTTTGGAATAACATCAGAATCTGACGCTGCTACCCGTTGACCGAGTTTGGAAAATAAGAAATAAGGAGCTGCAACCACCATAGAAATATATACGGAGTTGATGCTTAGTAACCGGCCGAGCTACTCCTCCAATTTGTGGTATGCGTCCGAGTGTTTTTTCCAACAAATGGATTGACCTACACTTTATTCATAGCTGCGTCCGAACGTGCGACGGATTTTTATTAGAACCACTAGGAGGTCTTGACATTCCCCACCGAGGGGTTACCGGAATTATAAGAAATAAAATTTCTTTAATTATGAGTTAGAATCAAGACTCGAACTCTGGTTTTTATGTTGCTCTATCGCTTTAAGAATGGGTAATATTAGATCAAAGGCGGGCTCCATTGTGGGCATTATTTTCTTTTTACGGTACTCAAACTCATGTTCAGTTAGTTTGATTACTGTGCATCCGTTGTGGCGTTGAGTGGATCTTGTTTCACCGTAATTCATTCACGCAAGGACCGAGGGGGCAGATCCACTGAAGGAAAGAGACACCTAATCTCTTCATGGTTGGTCGTAGTATGACAGAAAAGTCGGTGGAGGAATTTTCTGGTGAGAATTACCCACAAGTAGGGCGCTCCATAACGGTTAGTGAGGAGATATTATCAAAAAAGCAGGCTAAAATTTGCTTATGTATCCAATCGGATATGATCATGGGATTTGATCATGGTTAGGTCAGAAATTCTAGAGAAATTAATGTCATCTCTGTCTGGGACATTGACTTATTTCGATTCCCAGCGTTATAGTTGGAGTTTATACGTTTTGGAAATGCTGGTTTTGGAACTTCCTCGGTTCTTCGGAAAAGCGAAGCACTTAAATGCTTGGCGTGGGCTCTAGATAGCGTCACTCATGTTTGAGTCCGTAATTTTTCTACATGTGCCACTATTACTGAGTTTCGTCCGCCGGATACCGAGTCCTTCACAAATTTTATTGAAGAGATTGTGGACGCTATAACTTGTCAATCTTCGTATTGGTTCTTGAATGTTAGGTATTAAGTACCTCATATTATTCGGTGAAGGCGAAGGAAGAGGAAAACTTTCATTCCAATGGATAGATCAGAGGGAGGAGGATACAATTTGGCTTCGTGTCTTCAATTAGTCGCAAACGGCTGACAGCAAAAAGGACTGGTGCACTAGTGCTGACTCAGTTTATTATTGTGCTAGCTTAAAAGCTCTTTCCTTGTGTTCAAAGGTCTAATAAAAGTCCAATACATCTGTGGAAAAATTTAGCCAAAAAACATTAAACTCGTTTGAAGCCCATACATTCGCTCTGAGATCTCGCTTAAAATATTAGCAACTTTAACGTAATCTAACTTATTTTTCCTATAATTCAAATAATTAATTTTCTATCTCAAAAAACTTCTCATACATACAAACCTCTCATAGCAAATGCCTTTACATATATTCACTTCACATCTCACTTTTTGAAAATGACTATCCTTTTCCCCTATCGCATAACGTTCAGCGGCTCTCAAATGCTTCATCGCTTCTTTATAATTACAGAGCTCCATTAATAGACGCGATTTCACTAAAATGGCTTTCATAACTAAAATTTTCTTATTCATTTGACCAACTGGATTTAGGAAACATTTCAAAATTTTTATAAATAGATATTTAGAAAGCTCATAAAAGCTCTCGCTTACCTTCAGCTAGACATTTGATGGCACCATCAGCATGCTCAATGCCAAGTTTTGGATTATTTTGGGCAAAAGCCATTGCCGATTTGGAAAGTACACTAGCCAAGGTTATACCAATATATTCATGTAGATTTTGCTCATCGAAAACGTTCGAAATATCACCAGTACGCCAGCTTTGTGCTCGACTCAGTGTGAGAGCTTTTTGAAAGTATGCAATGCTTTTGGGAATCTTGCGAAAATCTGGAAGATAGAGAAAGATAATACATATGTATTGATCAAATATTTAACAACATTTTCGGACTCAGTCCAAAAGATCATCAAAGCTCTATGGCACTATGAAAGTTCGTAGAAAGCTTTTTGTTGGAGGCTAAGTTGAGAATTTGCGATTTAAATTCAAATTCTATTCAAACAGGGATTGCTATGAAAGTTTGTACACTAGTAGCTGGAGTATTTTTTTTTAATCTTTTGGAATAGAGCTACTTTGGCCACTCGAAGACCATCTGCTCTAGCAAACCCAGCCAGAAGCTCCGCTCTATCATTACTTAAAGCAATCGCAGACACTACTTGTAGGTGATAAAACTCACTGTTATTCAGTTGAAAGATGGCGTAATGAGTGTAAATTTTCGCACGCATTTCCGAGCAGAGTACATCGTTCAATCCAAAGGTGTCCGTTACTTCGATAACAATTTCGAAAAAACTCCGGGTAAGCCACCAATAAGTGCTGTGTAAATTTCTTGTTATATTCAATGCCTGATAGAGGAGTTCATAGGCTGTTTTACGGCTGAGGCAAGCTTTCAATTTCGTTGCAAGCTCCGCCGCTTTGCATGTTTCGAAAAGCTTCAGCAATTCCACTCTATTTCCCTCCATCCGTTGCGTGATGAAATTGTCTTCTATGAGAGCATCTTCTTCACACTTCAAATACTCAAAATATTTTGCACACACTGTACAGGCCTCAAAATATAATTCGGAGAGGAGTGCGCCGTAAATATGGCGTTGTGTGCGCTTTGCTTCGTGCAATGTCAGATGTTTTACCTCAACGCCGCGCATTACCTTCTTCAGATATCGCTCGCTGGAAGATGACATATTTAAAATGTGATCGCGGTTCGTTGCCGATCTTTTTTCAGTTATTTGAAGTCCAGATTTTTTTGTAAATGGTTTTGGTTAAAATTTTGGATTTCGCTTGTTTGCAAATTTCAAGCCGAAAGTTTTATAAAAATATAAAAATATTGTTTTCTTAAAAAAAATCATAAAAAATGCAAAAAAAGGTTTAAAAATTAAAAAAACAACGCTTTTGCAGTCTCGCTTATAGCATTGCTAGAAAAGAACTATAAGAAATTATGAAATTTCAGAAATAAATTTTCATGATGAATTTTATTGAAAAGAAATATTTGGAGAAATATTCGAAAAAGAAAGCAAGTAAAAAAAATTTGAGGTGTTGAAAATCGTTCTTTTTATAATAAACTCAACGAATCTGTCTGCCTTTTTCGAAGCGAATTCGTACACTTCGATCAAACTTTCGAGATAAAGCCTCACGACTTTAGATCATCGAACTATAATTCGTGGGAGTGTGATCTTTCGTCAACAAGTTGAGCATATAGGATTTATTTCTTTTCTTCAATATGTAGGCCAAAAAAATATGAAGAGCCTCTCAGCTACATTGTCGCTCCCAAAAAAAAATTTTTACTCAAAAAAATTTTCAATCTCAACTTGGTTTAGTCAAAAACGCAACGTCTCTCACTCTCCCTCTCTCACCGGACAGTCTGACCAAGTTTAATGTAGCTACTGTTTCAAATGCTTGCATTCCTTTAGTACAGTGTCATCCTTTATATCAAGCTTTATAGCGGAGCCATTCAACTAAAAGCCCAACTATAAATATATATCCAATCCTCCAATTTAAGATGGTTCTTTTGATGATTTTTCAACAAGTCGATGGTTCTGCATCTTCTTTTCCAAATCCATTTTAGACGGCTGATAGTTTTGTATGAGGAGCCTTTTATTAGATGCCAGATATATACATTCGGGTTGGTTCACATTCTTCGCTGGGAAGCTACTGTAATAATGAATTTTTTCTTTGGATTATAGTCTAACGAGAATTCGAACCAATGACTTTTCTCTGAGTTGAAAGCTTTACTTTTCTCATAGTAACCGTAGCGAGTTCTATTCTCGTTAAATCAAATAATTTGAGCTCACAGCAATGTTCATTCTATCACAAAGAAGCTTGTTTATTTTTGAGTTGCGTTAGTTAATCGGATAACAGTGTAGCCAAGTCACTCTTCACCTGCTCCCTCAAAACTGAAGTATTCTCATTCATCTATCTCTTGATGCACTGTATGTTGCCCATCCCGCGGTATATTTCGTCAACTCATCTGTCCATCCATGATCTGCGGTAATCAACTTTACCAATGCGTAAAGAAATTTAAATCTTTCTCTCAAGATTCTTGGTTCAATTTCAAGGATGATATTGATATTGGTGTTGGCGTTGGTTCCTCGATAGACGAAATCATCTACAACAACGAAGTAAAGACTTTCCTATTTGTCTGATGACACAAAATATTTTGACTTGCCCTCTTTCACTGCCAGACTCATTGGCATCACTTCTTTATTTCGCCTAAAAAAATACAGAAGGGAAACTATTTCAATATTATCAGCATATGCTAGCAGTTGCACACTTTTATAGAACACTGTAACTTCTCTGTTCAGCTTTGCACCATGTAGCACTTTACGTGCCTGAAATCTCGTTGAGTATAGAACCGGTCAGAGAAGTTTCTCCTGATCTTTACTGAGTTTATGGAAGTACGTCCAGCTGGAAAGCACGATTATCAGCTCTCTGCTGTATTTACTAAGTTTAATGTCACACGTCAGCCCGTAATATTCTATTACAACATCAAACTGTGGTGTGCTGCGGTACAGTGGAGCCGGTAAATTCGTACACCAACTACCACAATGCAACCGCATCAGGACAAGACGTCACCAACAACTTCCCACTATGGAAAGATAGTTCTGAGAATCCACTCTTCTACTTTTGGGACTCGTACAAAGACGGACGTGTGCAATAAATGCGAAGGAACTCCAATTCTATATCTTTTTTTTTGAAGTTCGACGACGTTCAGCGGCTAAATCTCAGCTACAACCAGTAGTGCGTCATAATGTAAGGCCTTAGTTCTCTTAATTTTCATTCAAAATACCAACGGTAGCCGAGTGCATTGCGTACTGTCATTAGGAAGGCTCGGGTTCAAGTCCTGGTCCGGCCAACATCCAAAAAGTTATAGAAAAATAATTTATATAAAAAATTAAATTCAATTTTCCGAGTGTATTTCTGACATGAAATAAAGTTCCTAATAAAACACCCATCAGTCGTCCGGAAGTGGCTTAGTATAAGCTGTACATCGCTCCATTTCTTGCAAAAACATCAAGACGCAAAACCACAAACCACTTTGTAACCACTGAAGCGATTTTGTTTTTCCAAGTAATAGAGGGACCTACAGTTTATATATATATAAATATATATGTGGGCAGTATTAAGTTTTTTGAGCTGAAACAGGTACTTGGAACTCGCGATCCCTCTATGTAAATACCATCTAGTTAGCCGCGAACCTGAGCACCACTGCTTCAACTTTTTTCCGAGTGAAGAGTCTGAAATAAAAGACGACGAATCAGTATATGTGTATCTCAAGAATATTCTTACGTTTACCGTTTAGTAGTAAGGCCAATTTGGCAATACATCTGTCAAAATATCAGTTACCCGATGTATCAAAGCTTATAGCCAATCAAAATCCAACTTAATTCAGTCACTTCCATCCCCCTCAGTGATTTCCAAACCATTTCCCCCTTGAAATCAATTCAGTGATAATAAAACATGGCTTAAACTCTTCAATCACGACTTCCGACTATCGAACGAAAACTTTTCACATTCACTGTGCCGAAACATCAAACACGCTCGAAGCACGTGCCTGCAACAGTCCAACTGCAACCGGCAACATGTTGTGTTTGTAAGCGACGCTCGATGGAAATGGTACTGAAATACAAACAACTCAATTATAACTGTATTATAAACAAAAGCGGTCAAACAACGTCAACATTATTCTGTCCAAAGACAACAACAACAACAACAACAACAATGCTACAAACATAAATACAATGAAAAAATTAAACGCCGCACTGCTGAAGGCATTAACTAAACTGGCCCAATGAATAGGTCAATGTGAGTGCGTGCGTAGGTGTGTGGGTGTTGAGTTAACGGCAGTGGCTGTCCAGTAAATAAAAAATATTTTCCATGCGAATTTCCTTTTCAGTTTTGCCGTTGACATCGGAACGTATGGAAGTGACGAATTTTGGTGATTTACGCGCGGAATTACGGTCTGTGGGATTAATTATGATTCGGTGGGGTAGTGCATGAAAGGTGAAGTGAAAAGGTGAAAAAAAATTGTATGTATGTTTTGTGATTTATGTGCATAAGAGTGTATAAGCAAAACAAATAAACATACATAAATGAAATAAAATTTTAAATTTCGAATTGATCTTCGTTATTTCTGTGGAAAATGATTTCTGTAAATCATGTGATTTAGAATTTAAATTTGAATCGAATAAAAATTATCATAGGTAGACCTAGCTGATTTAGGTGGAATATACACCGTCTTGCTCGATCACTTTTTGCCATTTTGAAGGTAATGTCATTATGGCTCTCTCATAGAAGAGTTTGTCGCAATTGACAAAAAATTGGGACAATCGATTTTCATAGGCTTTTCTAAAGGTCAATTCTTCATCAGCTAAATCATTCGCCACATACAAGAACAGATGGAAACCACTTGGTGCGAGGTCCGTACTATAAGATGAATGCTTAAAAACCTCCTAACCAAACTCTCAGAACTCCTGGAGAGTCACTATCGATTTGTGTGGTCTGATGTGGTCCTGTTGGCTAATCAGACAGAATCGCTTCCTTCAGACGGTGCTATCAGGTACGAGTTGGTCGTAGGGGCGCACCTCATGGTGGATGATTCCAAACCAATCTCATCAAATATACAACCAAATCTTCCTGTCCATCAATGCTAATACCGACCACCACTGTTGTTGATTTAATATCACTGCAAATAATCCGTTTCAGCAGCAATCCCCATTCGCTTCAGAAATCTATCGATGTTGTTACCACTCAGGAGGAACTCGCACATGGATATGCGGTTTATGAGGTTTTTTCTCGTTGACTAATGTAACACTCATACATAGTGTTTCTTTATATCTTTATTCTTCTTCAATTTGTTCCCAACTGCTACTTTTTTTTGGGCAATCGGAACACTGCTTGCGTGACGGTCAGACTCGGCGACTTCTGTTATTTTATCGACATTTTCGACAGCTTACCTCCCACACCGTCAAGGTTTTCTTCGAGGCTGGCGTTATTATTTGGATTATTGTTGGTCCCTATATTGACCGAGTCGCCAATATGACGACTGTTTGTTTGAAGAAAGCAGAAATCACAGCATGGTGTGTTTAGGCCTTAAATGTCCTCGGCCAGCAGTCGTACACTTATATAAAATACTGTGTCTTGTCTGTTTAGCCAGAAACTTCGCTTGGCACCGAACGGCGCAGAAAGATCCCTTCCAGTTCCCAAATTCAGACATAGCTGCATAGAGGCAGCTCCTTTTAATACTGTCAAGTACAGCTTCGACCATTATCTAGAAAGAAGACGAGGCATGCGCCTGTCAGCTCTTGAAGACTATATTTAAATAGCTTAGCCGGTTGATCATAAGCTCCTGCCGCTTAGTTGTTTTTTAAATGGGCAATTGCTATTCAAGCCTCGTTGTATCGAAGTCATCGATTTTAGTTTTCCATTTTCACTATCATTCAGCAAGCTGGAGAAGGTTAACTCCATACACCAAGTATGCTCTGAACTCTCTGGGTCCTAGAATAGTTTGCTTCGGTGTTTAACTTTCTGTTCTGTATTACCCTTATTGGCCAGCTACACGAGGTCTTCTTACTCATTCATTACGGTTTCTTTTTTGCTTTGTCGCGCACCACGTGCTGTGGTTGTTCGCAAAGTTGGGAGGTATGCAGTCTGTTTTCTTTCCACAGCAGTTCGGCCTTCCTCATAGTACTACGCAGAGACGATACTAAGGGAGCTTGAGATGACGTACCACAGTGTCTTATATCGAGTGGAAAACCTTTCAGCTGTT